GTTATAGCTAGCTGCTGCACTAATTTAGGAGTGGGTGTCTCCTGCCATCCAAACCTGAGTCCCGGAGCGAGAAGTTTGGAAACGGTTGCGTTGGAAATTGTGTTACCAAACTTGTAATCTTCCGGAAGCGAATCACGGTCTAAGTAGCAGAATCGTGGTATCGGAGAGTCAGCATCGGTGTAGTTCAATAACTCATAAACGTCGTCACTCACAATTAACATATCGTGTTTTCTTGCCAATTCTATCATCTTAGTTCTTGTCTTTACGGAATAGACCAACCCTCCTGGGTTTGAATATGTGGGAACAATATAGATCACATAACGATACAATTTACGGTCAGGTCTCCCAGACGGATCAGAAATAATGTTTGCTTCTTTGTTGCCAACCGGTGGTAGTCCCCTATCGTAGAACTCCAACTGCTCCTCCAAAAATTTCAAGTCAATTTCGTATTCGTCCCCCGGAGTCTCGACCACAGCCGTCAATTTGTCTTCAAAACCAGCATCAATGAACGAAGGAGTAATCAAGTAATATGTAGGCGAAACAATAAACCCTCTCCGAGTTATATCCTTGGTGTCGGTCATCGAGGCCAAAATGTTGGCAAACCCATACGATGCCCCACCCGTAAGATTAATACAATCAGGATCCGTGCCGTTCCTTCCAAAATACTTATCATTCCACTTACTGATAACCTTTCTCGTATCCAAATTACCCGCATCTGCGCCATATGTCAACGCATGTCTGTTCAATGGATCATTATCATATTTCGTATAGTCGTACTCTAATAATACGTTCTTGTAAGAATTAGCAATCTCCTTGGAAGGAAGCAAACTGTTTGTCGGATGCCCCTTGAAAAAGTTAATGAGTGGTTGTGTACCTTTTGACATCTGTTTTAACTGAATGCTCTAACAACCGTCTACTGCTACGAATTCTCTACAAACGTTGGTGTCATTGTAGTAGGTATAAGTGTTGATATTGGACTAGTACAATATCACGTGACACATAAAACACCCTATTGCCAGTCTTCCATCGATTGTACGGTTCAGTAAGTAAGTTCACAATTATCCTAAGGGGTCCAACAAGCCACCCGTGCTGTTTCAACCCGTATTATCTCCATGCAACTAACGTGGTGGCCAGTTTTATCTGGGACATATTTAATGAGTCTTACATAATATAATTTTTCAAAAAAGTGTCACAAAACCGAAGAACAAAAAATCGCATTGAACCAATAAACCGTCAATTAAATGAAAACAGTAATACAAGAAGTATTTGTTAGCATAACTTAACAATATTAATATACACGATGGTTGTTGCTTCACCAGCAGGTCTTTTAGTAAGCGGGTTCCTTGGTTTAATCACCAGAAGAATGCAAGTTCTGATTATTGGTAAGGAATATCCAAGATCGTTTAACAGAGTGCCAGGATATCTTTACTCAGTCGGTGCATTCGTTGGAGGGTACTTAATTTTCAGTAATATGGTTGAAAACAACAGAGAGTTATTGGACAGAAGATTGAGTATTTTACGTGAACAAAGAGCACTTAAGGATGCATTCCATGAATTCAAGGAAGAACCAGACCATAGATTTATCGCCGAAAAGAGAGGCAGATTCTTCAAGTTGATGGACAAATTTTCGACCGCCGATAAATAGACAGAATAGGATGACAGTTGTCCTTGGTGGTGACTTAAATTCGGCGTTAAATTTTAGGGGGATGCCCTAGGAGGGTGGTTTTAGAAAGCTCGTTCTAAATTTGCATATGTGGATTCATATAGTTATCAATGGCACATTTCCGAATGACGATTTCATTGGTTTCAAGTTTTTACGATTTATAGTACTATATATACATATATTTACTTTTGCATACGTGTAGACTATTGTTCGGCGTCCTCTTCCTTGCTCTGGGTGACAACGTCATCAGCCTCAGTAGAGGCTGCAGGGTTAGCACCTCCGTCATTCTCCTTGGTATCATCTTCTTCTTCGCCAACATCGCTATCACCATCACTACCAGCGTTACTGTCGTATTCTTCATCGACACTGCTTTCGCCTTCTTCTTCTTGGCCAACTTGGAAAGTACCGTCTTCATCTTCGTCATCACTATCCTCAGGAGCAGCCTGTTCGTTTGATTGTTCACCTTCGTCAGCATTTGCGTTTGTTGTGACCTTCTCCCTTAAGTCTTCATCAAATGAATTATCATTGATGCCTTGGCTTTTAATAAACTCGTCCATGATTTGGAAGTATTTCTGATCAATCATCCCGAATTCTAATGTCTCAACCTTTGAATCTTTTTTTTCATTGACAACTGTCACAATCATACTAAACGTAAGTCTAGTGATGTTACTATATGAGACATGCTGCACTTTCGATATATCAAAGGTCAATATTGGTTTTTTAAATCCAAATATGATATATGGTTGGTTATATTCATTGGCGGTTAGCATCAAAAGAGCCCCATCTTTGGCACCTTTATATGCCTCAACCATAACTAAGTCATTAACCAGGTTAGCGTTCAGCGATATTGCAATTCCAGCATCTGTGTTGATAGTTAATTTATTCTTCGTTGCACTGGAGGACGGTAAATAGTTAATCATATGAATACCACACAATTGAAATTGTTTCTGCAAGAAGTTAATAATGGCCTCGTTTATGGCCTTGATTCCGTCTTGACTTTGATTACTCTCGTTCATTTCCTTGAGCTGTGTTTCGGCTTCTGCTGGGATTTTGCCAGCTTTTATTAATTGCTTTTTAACCTGATCAAAGTTAACCTGACAAATAATCGGGTCGTTCTTATTAGGATCTGAGGCAGCATGATCATGTATCCAGAAACACAACAAACCTATGTTACGCTTAGTATTATTGGTTGAATTTCCCAATATTGGCAATAATACACATAATCTTATCAGACTCGCTAAATCATGAATGGAAATCTCAGGAACATATGTAGTTGGTAAGGCAAGCAGCATTACGGGCTTGGGAGATTGGCCTGGCTCAACCAACAAGTGGAATATCAAGTTCAACTTCTTTCTAATTGGTGATTGGAATGAAATTTGCGGTAACTCAAAGATTATTTCTTGTTCATGGATTTGTCCCGAAACTTCTGATTTAGGAGCCGATAATGCTTCAGGAACATGTCCTTCAGATTTTATCTCTGTTTCAGAACTTAGTTTTCGTTTTTTATCTTCATGCTCACTAGCGTAAGTTTTGTAATATTCACATAGTTTATGTATCACTGGCAAACTCGGAGGATGAGCTTCAACAAGTGAATTAACTTGATGTTGTAGATCCAACGGCAACGATTTGATCCATTCTTGATCGTTAGACATTGCTAATTTATTCTAGAGTAGATATAATATTTCCATGCTTTGTTTGACCTATTTATTTATTTTGAGTCGCGTTTCTATATGAATTAGTCGATAGATCATTATTGATAAACCACATTTCTAAGTTATGAAATGGTATTCTACAATGCAAGGAAGTGATGATAGTAGCTTTATTGACGACGATTCCCTTTTACAAGAAAATTCGGCTATCTTGAGCATTCTACCGCTGTTAATACAAGATCTATTTCATTGGGAATCACATCTTGAAATTTTGCTAAAATTTCTACAGAACCAGATAGAGGCATCAGAGGTGTTGGAAGAAAGTCAAACGATTCAATTGCAGGCCATATATTCCCAAATACAAGAAATTGCAGAGAAAGGAATCGTGGAGAACAGCGGTCAGAAGGATGTCTTGGTAATAGACGAGAACAAGAGTATCCTATTGGCATTTACATTCGGAAGGGCATTTGTAGATGCCTTGAGCATTCTTTCTGATCCTAAGAATATAAAAATTGTTGTTTATTGCGAAGAAGGAACCGAAAAAAGCCTAATTAACGAACTTGGCGCCAACTACCTCCAAGGGAAGTTCGAGTCTACCGGTCCCAATGCTTGCCATCCAATTGGCGTCAAGGTGGTACAGGTAAAGCAGATCAGAGAACGGTCTAAAGCAAGAGTATCTAAAAAAAGAGTGGCCGAAATTGGCCAAAGGTTGGCTGATTTGGATCTAGAAAAAATGTTGCACAACGCCGGCCTCACTATCAACGACGCTGGTGAACTTATAACGATACCAAAATCCACCAGCATCCTGAAAAATATCCCGGCCGACACACTGAACCCGTCTGCTTTGTTTTCGGCTAATTCCGACGAGAGAACCCGGCTCCAGAAAGAACTAGACGAAGCGGTTGCAACCAAACGCGAGCTGCATGCCGTAGACTTGAAGTCATGGTACTGCTCTTGTGACGAATTCCAGGCATGCTATGTACCCCAGACCAGGCCTGATATTCTGGACAACGACTCCAATACTCGGTGCCCCATATCACCCGATGACACCTTATCTACACCCGCTGGACTCCATATGATGGATGCACACGATCTAATTGCAAAATGTCACGACAACCCAATAACCCGTTATTTCCGTTCACTCCTGCCCCAAAACCAAACCAAGCACCTATCCACGTTGCCCATATGCTGCCATCTCCTTGCGTTATCTATTGCAGCCACTAACTCACCACATACCCACCGTTATTTCACCATCTTGTCCCTGGATAATGTATGGTCAATGCTTACATAACAGACTCCCTTCAACCAACCAAAAAAATTTCGTCGAAAAAAAAAGTTGACAAAATGACACAAAACCAATTTTTCAATTTTTTTTCTGTTGTCACATAAATGGCCACTAGGGCGATAAATATTGGTAATTGATTTTCATTAAGTAAACAGATTCATAAACCACATACATTGTATATAACATATAAATATTGGATTATTTATATTCATCAGTCATTCATCAAGAGTTAAATTGCATTTTATTTAAAGGAAAAGGAAGATATTCTTATTTCATAATTGGTAATTAGGAAAATTCAACACCGATAATAATAGTTGAAGAAAACGATTCCAAGAATATATCTTCATTTATTTCATGTTTTGTTAATTACGTCGTCATATTACACCGAATAATATAAGCACATATGTCTACATCTTCGAACACATCGAATAGTGGTCCCAATCGTTTCCGCAGCGACGCTGCTAGCTTTTCACCGAGTGTTCCTTCTCCGGGAGTCATGAACCAACAAATGCAACAACACCAACATATATACCCTCAGTACATGTATGGGACACCACAAATGGTACCTAACCAGTATTATCCATATATGACACCATATATGATGCACCCGAACGCACCATACTCCGATTTCAATCCATATACTCAAGCTTACGGAGGGTACCCAATGCAAATACCACAGTACCCGGGGCAGCCATATCCAGGGATGCCAAACATGAGTGCAGGAGGAAATATGAACATGAACACAATGATGAACAACAGACCTAAAATGAACCATAATAATAAATCCAAGTCGTACATATCTAATTCGAATAGGTCAAGGTCCTCGTCATCAGTTTCGTCGAACGTCCCAAACCAGTATCAACAACACCAGCAGACCCCACCAGTTTCACACCCACACCCTCACCTACAAGATCAACGGAAACATGAAAATAAGCCAGAGAAGCCGGCCGGAGAGGAAGCACAGCCTGATCAATGTAAATCCGATGTAACATCATCTACAGATACTAAGCACGAAACCAGCAAGCAAGGAAAGAGGCATGACACTTTGGAGTCAATTACAAAGAAGGATCAAGAGAAAACACCATCGACGTCTCCTAACAAGCCAATGTCTTATCCATTATATTTCAACGAAAACCCCCAAGACTTTATTAAATCACAACAATCAATAGCGTCTGAAAGAAATGAATTAGTGAAACAGAAAAACGAAAGATTGAACGAATTTATCAGGTCAGAAAATAATGAAAAGCAAAGCTTAGTAATTAATAGAAATAGTAATATCACAATTATAGATTACAATACGAATACTACTCACAAAACTATTGAGAATAATAATTACAATACTCATAGACCTAATGACAATGATGATAATAATAGTAATAAATTTAATGATAACAGTAATGAAGTCGATCATGATGAGGAAGATTCAACGGATAAAATTAAAGATAACAAGTCCGCTAATTGGGCTTCATTTTTACAAACAACGGCAGCCGTGCCAGCCAAGAAATCAAAGTCACAACCGAAAGCTTCTACAGGGCCTACCCAAATATCCACTTCCAGTTCTACAACAGGTATCAATCCTTCCACAAATAACACACAGGCAAACAATATATTAGCTTTAGATTCTTCTCAGCCACTCGGAATTTTAATGTTGAAGATAATGTTTGATAATAATTACTCAGTAATGAACTCTTACAATAATTGCCCAATTTTCCGCGTAAAGCCTAGAGGATTGACCAACACCGGGAATATATGTTACATGAATGCAATCTTGCAAGTCTTATTATATTGTGAACCATTCAATAAGACTCTTAAGTTGGTTGAAAGTAAATCTATTGGCTCGTTAAGTCAAAAATCAACAACACCGTTGTTAGATATAGTGATTAAATTCTGGAAGGAGTTTAGTCAACCAACGAACATGAAACCAATTTCTCCAGATAATTTTTATATGAGTTTGATTACACATGAAAAATTCTCACATTTGAAATGGGGTCAACAGGAAGATGCGGAAGAATTCTTAGGGTATTTCTTGGATGGATTACACGAAGAATTTGTTGAATCGATTAAGGGATTGAACACCCCTCAAACTGATTTATTAATTCAACAATTCCAACAACAGAACGAAGATATTGATCAACTCAAATTAAATGCATTCAAGTTGAATATTAAGAATACTATGAAAATCATTAAGAAGTCCAAACTGGAAAATCAAGACACCACTCACCAGGAAGAAGTCTCTGATCATGAAAGTAATGGTTGGTCAGAGGTAGGATCTAACAACAAGAAAATCAGCGCTAAGAGAACCGTTGAAATTGAACCATCTCCAATAACAACAATTTTTGGAGGTCAATTTAGATCAGTATTGCAGATACCTAAAAATAAAGAAAGCCAATCGATAACATTGGATCCTTTTCAATGTATTCAATTGGACATTTCGGACTCTTCTATAACTACTGTTGAAGATGCATTCAAGCAATTGAATGAACCCGAGAACATTCCGTACAAGTCTTCTTCTAACAAAGAGGTTATTGCTAAGAAGCAAACTTTTATTGATCAATTGCCTAATATTTTAATAATTCATTTGAAGAGATTCTCATACCAACAAGAAAAAGATAAAGAGAACACTCCATCTAACGAGCAATCATCAAATACATTATCAAATAGTTCAAGGTCGTTGGGAAGTATTGAAAAGTTACGTAAGAAAATTGAGTACTCTCATCATTTGACAATCCCTAATGAAGTTTTATCTCCATTATATAAACATTCAGGCAATATCAGTAACCATTATAAATTATTTGGTGTTGTCTACCATCATGGTGTCAGTGCAGAGGGAGGCCATTATACCAGTGATGTGTTGAGAAAATCATCGGTTTTCGATAACGAGGAAGAATCGAATGATAAGAAGGTTGATAATCAATGGATAAGAATTGATGACACCCAAATTACTGAACTTGAAAAAGATGAAGTATTGAACGGCGGCGACGAAGAAACGACGAAGAATGCATATATATTATTCTATCAAAAGACCTAATTGAACAGAAAAAGATAGCCACAATTAAGTCGAATAATCATAATTACAAGCACATACTTCTACTAATGTATTATTATCACTAGTATCATCATCATCATCATCATCATTATCATCATTGGCGTAATATGGCCAAAAAATAGTATACTATTATGGTGTTGTTTGTAATTTGTTTCCTATATATTCTACTAATCTACTATATAGTTACTACAATAGCATACTATTATTTAATCGTTCTCTTCAGCCTTAAACTACCCAAGACTACAGAATGAGCCAATTCGTATAACTTTAGTGCATTCTCCTGCATAACTAAAAATAATAATGGAACTACATGGTATTTCACTAAAACCGACAGTATCGGTACAATTATATTAAAAGCGTACTCTGAAGGAGCTCGAAATGAAAAAATATACCGATAGAAACTCTAAATACTAATAATCTAGCAGGGCATTTTCAAAAGTAATCGACCAGCGTGAGCCGTCGTCTAAAATCTTAAATAACACAACTAAGTAACTTAGAAGAGAGCAGCAGCGATAGCAGCAACACCAGCAGCAGCACCAACAACAGCCTTACCAGCACCGTTTTCAACAGAAGTGACAGATGGAGCACTGGTTTCAGCATTGCTGGTAGTGTAGGTGGTTGGGATGGTACATGGACCAGTGATGGTTAAAGTGGTGGCTTCAGAAACGGTGATAGTCTTGTTGTTAACAACAACAGAAGTTGGTTCTGGACAGTAGGTGGTGTAGTCGGTGACAACAACATCAGTGGTAACAGTGACGTTAGAAGCGGAAACGTAAGCAGCTAAAGCAGCTGGGATTAAAACTTTTGAGAATTGCATTTTAGCGAGTGAATTGGTAACTTGAGATTATATTAAGTATGAAGAAAAAAATAAAATAAATTAAAAGAATCAGCGCCCACCTCTCCTTTTATATCTCTGAATCTAATCAATATTTAGTAGTTAAATCATTGTCTGACTAATTAAAGGGAGAAGAAATTTTTTTATCGCTATCAAAATGCTGGACGTATGTATGCCTTCTGGCTGTACCTTAATGCGGAAGCATTTTTCCCCAATTGGGTCGAGACAACCGTGCGGCGTAGCTATAAATAAACTGAAAAGATTTTCCGCTATTACGGTGCTGGGGCTTGGTCCACAAGAGAACATGTGGTACAGATTTGACCGTAAATTGTTGCTTCAACTATGCATATCGTTCAGGCAACATTCCACGAAAGGGTCAAAAATCAAAATATTAGATGATCAAAATAGTAATAATTTCCAGGATGCATATACTATGGATCTCAATCATAGAAGATAATAGTACGGCAAGAAACATAGTGTCGAATAATTAGAATACTTATTAAGAAAGTACCGCATGATGAGCAACACATGGTTAAATAGAAAATTGTGGTAATGATTATGAGGATGTGGCATATACCATAAAATAAAGCTGGACAATGCAAGAAGAGTTCAGTGATTCTCTGAAACTGCATATGGCTGAAGTGATCGAATATGCTATTGATAAAATTTGTATGCGGCAGAAATTGCTGTTTCAATAATTGCAACAGGTTTCTTTTTAGATTGATGAAATCGATGATACGCTACTATTTCCTTGCGTTTTTCGAGATACGCCGTAGAAGTTTACTTGTCGCATACCAGGAGTCATGAGATGGTATGATCAGACTCACCGTATCTGTACCAGGATAGCCGTAAACAAGACCAGTCGTTGATAGCAGGGAATAAGTTTCTATTTATGAATTTATGCTGTTAATTCGTGATCTTGAGTCACGTTTGCCTTCATACAATTTCATTGACCGTCCTTCATCAAAACTTTTCTTATAGATGGACAATACTATTTCACTCTCAACGAGTAATTCTCTCTACATCCAATTAGAATAACTTTAAATATCAATATATTATAAGCAATACAATAATGAATTAGGTAATTTGCGGATTCCACAGAAGAGATGTAAAATACTAGGCGTGTAGTCATCAACCTTTACGAATATACAGATACATTAATTCGCTGCACAGACTATATAGGTTGGGCGACTTCAACTAAAGCATACTGAAAGATTACTTTCTATAATATAATTTTATCTATTTTAAATCATCTGACTTAAAGTAGTTAAAATTAAATATGAATGAAAAATTTCTATTCATAGAATTAGCTGAAATCAAAAATTAAAAGACCCACACTTCACTAATTATAGAAAAGTTGGCAGAAGCCTCCTTGCAGCGCTGTGCAATGCCAACAAGAAATTCTGGTTATAAGACTACTTGATCTCTTATAACATCTCAAGGTAAGTATGAAGAAAAAAAGTATAACAGAAAACTGCGTTTTCTGGCGGATCGACATCGTTTAAATAGTCGATGAGACGTGCGGGTAACACTGAGGTTGAAATCATAGTCTAGCAATTAATATCGTATATACCTTATATAGTAGACCACTTTGCTAACTTTGCTAAGGATGATCCAACATTTCTAACCAATGCAAACTCATCATTATGACTTGCTACTATGCATCCAATTCCTGATGCGAATCCGAGGTTTAAATTGTAGGAACCACTTGTCACAAATCCAATTAGATCTGTAGGTGGTGGGCACTGATCGAATGCACCGCTTAGATATTGGTTTCTGGTTTCAGAAGCAATTCTGTAGATTCTTGCATTATCTTGAATACCACCTCTCCCTTGAATCTGTAAGTTTATTTGTAAAACTGGCACTTTTGGGAATTCGTCCATATGTTCGAACAGAGATTTGCTGATGAACTTAATATGTTGTGGATTGTGCTTATCATACAACTCTATCGGAATTTGATCATTAGACTGACATTGTCTAACAAGAGCGATAACATCGTTAACAGATTCAACCGTCCTGATAAGGTTTTCATCAAAATTTCCAAATTGGTTTTTTGTAGATAATGTACTCTTATTACTAAGGCTTGATGCAAATATCATCTTCTGCAAGAATTCCCAATCGCATCTAAATGGACTAATAATGCCTTCAGTAATTTCATATTTTGGTCTTTTGGATTTTGGCTTTTTCGAATATTGTGCTTCGGCAATTGTGCTTTTGAACTTGTTTTCTAAATATCCTTCCTTCAAGAATTGAAAATCAATCGGATACAGGGCTCTGCAATGTTCAAAGTTTATTTGATGTAATTGTTTTATTCCACCCGTACTTATATGATGGATCTGATTTAGTTTTAGCCAAATTGGCAATGTCCAATACCACGGGCATATAAGAGTCCAGTTACTTGATGATTTCAATTTGGTGATTAAAACAGGGAATTGGTGCTTTCTCTGGATAACTTTGTCCTTTTGAAATTCACGGCTTATCTCTTTTGTTGAGAGTTGGTCGCAGTATGTATTATTTCTCTTACCATTATCCAATAGTACGTCGAGGGAATTTATATCAATTGTTCTTTCTTGAGATAAGCGAATAATTAAATCGTTAAAATTGACAGCATCAGTATTATAAGGTACATTCGTGGGAGATTTGAAAAATCTTGGGTCTTTAATATTAAAACTAAAGGTTGTTCCATTAGGTACTGAATTAGGATCATTTAATTTAGCTAACTCAAACCAGTTTTTAGTAATTGGATCTGAAGAGTTTAAATGAAGTACTTTACTCAAAGAATTAATGGATTTGGGGCCATTAAGCTCTATACTACCTAATGAATACCGACAATCAAAAACATTATTGCCTGTTTCAGATACTTTCAACAATGATTTGATATATTCAAAAAATTCATCATACAACGACGGATGAACTCGAATTAATATTTTGTTTAAATCCCCGACGGAAAAGACTAAGCCCGTCCCAATTCTCTTCCCATCCTTAAATAACCAGTCATCATAACACCTATGCCCACTTAATATTTTTTTAGGTATATCTCCCTTTAGTTTTGTAATGATATTCAAAAAACTGTTTGCTTCCGCACTATTGATAGTTTCCACGATTAAGCAGTCATAGTACGAGGTGTCATATATTATCGTTTCATTTCTTGAAGCCCTATTAGTAGATTTAAAACATTTCTGAGTTGGTTCAAGGGGTATTTGATATCCCCATTTCTTAATCATGTGAAATCTCTTTGCGTGCCATACGTGGGTAGGAATCCAAACAAAATCGTTTTGTCTCTTTGCATATTTTAAATTTCCCCTGGGTTTAGAGGCAAAATTATTTATTCCCGTATTATCGTACGACCCCATTTTATTATTTAAAGTTGGTTTAGCTGTATTCTTGCTAAGCAGCTTTATTTGTTCATCCAAAATTTTCAATTTTTGACGTAACTTTAACGGTTTATTCTGAATATCTTCAGATGGGACTGATCTTAAGGATTTAATTCTTGATGCTAGCTTGAGTAATCTTTTGGACATTTTTAATCTGTATAATTCCCTTCCACGTAAATGCTTCTTTTTGGGTGGTAACCCATTAATTGAATTTTGCATTTCTCTTAATGCCCTGTTTCTTAATCGCTTAGGAATACGCTTAACATTATGGGACGCGGTTCTTCTTCTTAATGTCCTCGGAAGACTTTGAAAGCATCTTGTTGAAGATGCATATTTCGAGTTTAATTGTGATAATTCAAATGACTTTATTTCGAAGTTTCTTGAGGATAAAAAGTCAGGAACTGATAATTTACCCTCATTAAAGCTCGGATCTGTAAGCTCGGCTCTGATGGATCGACTATTATATAGCTTAGCCTTCTTATTACTTATATTCGGCTTTGGAGGCATTGCAATTTATTGTGCTTGCTAGCTTTAGGAGTTTATGTCTTCTTGAATGGAAATTTAATTGGGTTCCATCGCTTTTCACGTGTTTTCTTACATTTGGCCATAATTGTTAAAGACCTATATTCATAAATAATTAAAATACATTCTTATACAGTTAATAATATGCAACACTATATAACGTAGGTAAATGGGTATGCTCCTGCTGCCATGTGGCCAAAAGCTTCATCATTTGATCTTCTAAAATAGTATCTGATTCATCGTCAAAGTCATGATCAAGTCTTCTCTGTTTATTTGTATTTCTGAATTCATGGATCATATTCACGAGCTTCAAAATACCCTTTCCTCCTATAACAGCATTCTCGTAGTCATCTTTGATATCAATATTAATGATATGAACAACTTGTTTGATTTCGGTGTCAGCTTGATCTTTATTCACAAGTCTAACCATAAGGTCATCAAGAACAAGATCAAAACACCTCTCTTCACATGTTATTACTAAATCAAACTTACCAGCAGATGCGTTGTTGTGCCATTTTTCTGGAGCCTTTTTTATATGTCTATTTCTATTAATCATGCGAATGAGCCCATTAGATTCGTACATCTTATGATATTCTTGACTTGTCAAATCACGATAGATATCTTCGTAGGGAGTGCCGAAATCATATACATTTGGCTTGTCTATCAGAGGTCCCGGCAATCTTACTGCTGAACCAGTACCAAATGACCTAACATTATAACCAGCATCTTTTAGCTGTTTATGTGATTCCATAGATCTATTATTATTAGCTGCACATACAGTACATATCTTTAGACTATCAGGTATCATGGTGATTATAGATGTGTTGTGTTGTTCTGAGTTTCTTGGGTTATTAATGAATCTTGAACGTCTAATTTGTTTTTGATATTCTCTTCTATAAAAGAAAAAAACTGATTCTATCTATATTAGAAAATGCAGACAATTGGTAATATAGAACACAGACAAGATGGCGTTCAGACGAATTATGAGAAATGTGTATGAATTAAGTACCTTCGTGACAAAGGGAATGATTAATGGAGAGTATAAAAGTCAGAATAGGAACTTAAATTATATATAATATATTTGAGATTCTACACGACCTTAATGGCATATATTTATTGTGTCTTGTCCAGCAAGAACAAACAATATAAGAGCATAATATCTACAAACTAACTAGTCATGGCCTTGAGCCTGCGGGTGAGGTATACTCTGCTCCTATGCTTGTATGTGAAACATTGACTGGCTCATCATCATCAAAATTATCGTCTTTGTTATTTTGATCGATTTCGCTGTCAAATTCATCAGCCATATCAATAAAGCCTTCCATATTACTCAAATCATCACGAGAAACGTTATCTATCGTGATAAAGTCTTCGCCTCTTTGTACATCTTTAGATTCGATGCAGACGAATTCGGAATTTTTTCTCTTGAATTCACTTAGAGAGCCTCTCCTATCTGGTTTTTCTGATGTACGATGGAAATGAAGTATTTTGTTGGATGATTTCGTACAACTTCGCTTAAAATCTTTGTAGTCGTTTATGTCTTTGATTAAAATTCCAACCATCATTGAAGGATCCATATCATCAACACTAAGTTTCTGGTACAGATTGGTATGATATGTATCGTATATGGATGTCTTATTTCTGACAAATTGAGGATAATGAGGATCTAGGTACAATAAGTCATTGCCGTCGTAGCCAAAGAAGTAAAAACTTGAGGAAGGCCTACCACCAGCAATTCCTACTGATTGTCCCAAGGACAACAATTGTAATACACTTGCATGGTAAAAGGGATTTACTTTATCAATACCTAGTCTCACAGGTAGCAATACCAATAATGCATCTGGCACAGGGTTCAATGTTGTGAACATTTGTGTGATAATATCGTCATATAGGTTGCTGCTCTCACTGATAAGCACCTTCACCCTTCCTGTCCCATTACTCTCGTAAACATTATCACACAACCTCTTTATAGATAAGGAAGCAGCATTAGGCCCAAACCATTGTCCTGGTTTGACCTTTAATGGCAGTTCTGATGCCACTTTGATGAAATTATGCAACGAAAATGGCGCTTTGGGTTCATCCATAAACATATCTATAATTTCGTCGTGCCTCGGACTTCTATCTCTATCAAAACTAAACTCTCTGCCTAGCAAGAGCAATTGATATGTATTTGCTAGCAACGCCTGGGAGGTCCTTATCATGCATCCCCACCCAACGTCAGTGGTGAAGTTGTCATTATCAAGAAGCCCATGGAAATTATTGAATGTGCTGGAAATCGGGTTCCGATTGAAGACCATCGATTGAACAAACGACAACGGTTGTGGTCCATCTAAACACTTGGCGATCGGTTCAAATCCTGTTCTGTACGTTAACCAAATTTTAGAATATATATCTTGTTCTATAACTCCATCATCCATGGATATATCATCATACTTTTTGCCCAATATAACTACCGACTTTTTCTCCTGCTCCGATTCAACTCTCTCGTCTCTGCTAAAAATATTACTATCATTTCTGTCGATTAGAGGATAGGTTGTTGTTATCTGCAGCCATAATTGGGTAAAATTAAACCCCAACTTGCTAGCTTCGTTACATTCATTTGAAGCTATTTTGTTCGAAGAATCTCCATGTTCGCTACTATCCCTGTTACTCATACTTTACTTCAATACAAATAGTAAACTATTGCTTATACTTATGAGTTTACTAATTAACCGCTAATATTGCCCCACGATAGGAACACTTTTTTGTGTAATTTGCAATTTTGATAATATCAGCACTGAAGGATTATGGCAATAAAATAATTTAATATACTTCTTTACAATAAAAACACTATATAATGCCGAAAAGAGGAGGTAGAAAGAGCCACCCTAGAAAAGATAAAGGTGGGGGAGGTGGTGGTTCCAATTTTGGACGGTTTAAAACCAATAAGAATAAGAAAAAGACAGGCAAAAGCTCATCGAAAAATCATGGAACTCCTAGATCGACAAATATTGATATCCCAGAATTAATGGATCTCGATGATAATGTATATATTCCGGAGATAGATACAAAGGTATCTCGGAGTAGTATGAAAAATTTATCTAGAAGACCAGGACGTCGTCATTTATACGAAGAGGTTGGATATACGGATAAGCACATAGAGGATACATTAAGACAGCCATTGCGTAATAGACCTATAGAATTCGTTAAGGCTAGACAGGTATATGATCCAAGTGCAGATCTATTCAAGAAGCTAGGTAAAAGTGGCATTCCGAAGGTGCATCAGGACTTACTCGATAGCATGAATTCGCCACCACCGCAGGAGGCCCATGTGCCCGAATCACCGATTTTGGATATTTTGTCGGAGGAAAGCGAAAACGATGCTATAAATGACGTTGTGGCTCATTTGGCATCGTCGAATACGTCGCTTGACTCAGATTTAGTGAGTAGAGGTGAAATATCTAAGATTAATGATGAGAGGGAGTCGGATGATGGGGAAGAGCAAATAGAAGAAGAAGAAGAAGAAGAAGTAGAGGACGAAAACGAAAGCGAAGACAACGAGGAGCACAGAATAGAAAGCCATACTGAATCTGAACAAGATGAAGAAGAGGAAGAAAAGGAAGAGGAGGAAGAAGAGGAAGAGGCGTTTATAATAGATGATACTGGTGATGCGGAGATTCTAAAGGACCATAATCCTATAAAGCCACAAACCTCATTATTAATTCAAAGTAAATTACCAAAATCATCAAACCAAAATGATTTCGATAATATAGCAGGGGGTGTTGATTATGATCCAGTTTTAAATATTGGAAAGGTTTCTTTACAAACGAAGAGAGATGCAAATGGCCAATCCACTACGGAACTTATGTCGGTCAACCAATTGAATAAGATATCTACAAAAGGCTTTATTGATGAAAACAAAATGTTCCCTAACATGGAAAAGAATGTTTCTGACGTTTCTGATGATGATTTTGGCGGATATAAAGATTACATTGCCCAAGTTATGCGAGATGGAAAGCTCGATGAAGTCTCCGATGAGTACGAGAGCGAAACTAATTTCGATATCATGGCTTCGTCTTCTGATGATGATGATGATGATGATGATGAAGACAATGACGAAGGTGAAAAAGATCCATCGGAAATTGAATATGGATTTCTTCCCGAAGACTATGAATTCGATGTTTCTCAAGTTTCAATCTCAAACGTCAGGTTTGGTATAAAGAATCAGCTTTATACAAGGTGTGCTGAGATAACGGGATCAGATGACCAATTTATGTGGATTGACGAGGACGACTTAGTTGACTACGTTTTACTGAAAGGTGTTAGAGAGCATAGATTAAACAGCTTTATGAAGTTTATTACGAAAGGAATAATAGATGAAGAGGCAATGGAAGTCCCCAACTATTCTGATGTGTATATTTCTGAGACTTCCGAAGAGGAAGAGGAGGCAAATAGCGAAGACGAAAATTTAGCATCTATGATTGCTTTCACTAAATCACAACAAAAGAGCTTCATGGACTTAGATATTCCTTCGACCGAGAGAGTGAAAACTAAAGGCAAGGGTAAAAAGAAACAATTAGATCTCGATAGAATGCAACTAGATATAGATATGCATGAATCATTGCAAGATCAATATCAGGTTCATCGCCAGGCTAAAAGATCAAAGAAACAACGCCGCGAAGATGCAAGATATGAAGAAGGAACTGCTAAGCATGATTTATTAGTTAAATATCCTTACTCACTACATATTAAAGATATTTGCTACGAGTTTGAAACTTTCTTACACGATACATCTAGGGATTCCATGAGTTTTCCTCCATTAGACCCCCATGGAAATAAAACAGTTGTTAAAATATCAAATTTTTACAATATGAAATCATTAAAGTGTGGTACTGGTTTGAAACTGTTTGTTAAAGTTTCCAAAAATAGAAAAACATTTCACTACTTACCAAGATATGACCAAATTGGTAATGTTCTGAGACAAAGGCCAATTTTCAATAGAACAGATCAAAGGAGACCTAAAGATGAAATCACTAGATCAGATGGCAATTCTAAGAAAGATAGATCCAGGGGACGGAATAAATCACAATCGAATGTTCAAAGCAGAGAAGGAGATATCGTTGGTGCTTCTGCTCCAGAGATTGACACCAATAATATCGGGAGGAAATTATTGGAGAAATTAGGTTGGAGTAAAGGAGAAGGCTTGGGTGCACATGGAAATAAGGGTATTAGCGAACCCGTTGTGGCGAAAATCAAAAAATCAAAAACTGGTTTAAAATAGACTATTAATACTTATGTACACTATTATATATTAAATTAATTCTTTTTTTTCTTACCCTTTTTCGCTTGAGGCAAAGGAGCAGCATGGCCTGTTGTCTTTACATGTTGGAAGAGTTTGTTTCTTGATGTAAACAACTCTTTGCAAACTGCACAAATATCTGAACCTTTAGGTACATGTATTGGTAAGTCATCAGATTCAGTATTCTTTTTCTTTTTTGGTAGTGCTGCTTGCGGTTGAGGACTAGCAGTTTCTGATTCAGCAGTTGGGTTCCTCTTTTTTTTATTCTTTTTACCTTTTGGATTGGTTGACCAATCACTATCATCATCTAAAGCTGTGCCATTTAGGTTTGAAGTGAGTTTGGATAACTCTCGTTGCAAATCATCATCTTCATCATCTGAGTATGCAGGTGTACTTTTCTTGTTCTTGCTCTTGTTCTTCAGCTTTTTCTTGAGGGAAGCCTGGGGTACTATTATGTGTTCCGCATCATCTTCAAAATCACTATTTATTTCATCATCAACTTCAAATTCTATACTTGCTATTGTATTATCAGCATGTTCTATGACTTCTGGAGAATTCACTCTATTATCTTGTTCAAGATTATTGACTGGGCTGTCTGAAACTTCGGATAGGTTGTCATTACCTTCAGTATCAATATCATCATCTTCTGAGTCTAATCCACTACCAGCCGTCTCAAATTCATCTAGATCCACATCATCCTTATCGATACCTAACTCAATTCCTTCTTTTTGCATTTCCCATTTTAACTTGCTTACTACTTTCTTATGTTTATTTGATTGTTCATGTGTCTCAAATTGCTTCTCAGATTTAAAATATTTATTACAAACGAAGCATTCGAAAAAATTTTCGTCTCCCGTTTGTTCGTATTCATCAAATTCACTATCGGAACTAGAGTAATACTCTTCATCTAGCATTTGCTCGAGCTCATTCAACTCTTCTACTGATAACTGTTGCCAATCTTGAATTTCAAAGTTGTTTTGCGTTGCCAACTTCCTTAATTCATCTTGGCGATTATTTTTAATCTGGTCTTCCAATTCTTCTTGTTGCTTCTTCTTCTTTTGCTTTTCATATTCGCTTATTCCTTGCTTAACCCTCATGTCTCTCTTTCTTATAAATGCAACAAGACTTCTTACGGTCTCGTTGTATTCTTTTCTTGCAGCATCTCTTGCCTTTTTATTTTCTCTTTCCATGAGTCTTCTTGTCCGTCTATCAGGTGCCATAGAGTATCTATACTCATCCTTCCAATTGAACGCTTTGACACTTTGGAAAGACAACCACGTATTATAGAAGGGTCTAACACGTGAAATATAGTCGCTCTTACTATTTCCAAATCTTGGATATAACAACATCGATTCATCAATTACATTAACATTCGATGCATCGTCGTGATACTTCTCATATTTTGCTAAACCTTGATGCTTGGCATGACTAATTTCCTCAGAAGCTATTCTCTCGAACAACCTACTGACAACGTTATAAAACCCAACCTGTGAATCATCTATCGTTGTATAGAAAGAAGGATTGAAATACCTTAAGATTTCTTCGACAGATATACTTGGAATCACCAATTCATTCTCGTCCACTTCAAACGTATCTTCATCTCTTAAGATTTGGGACTTATGTGAGTCATACCACGATCTTTCCTGAGGATCTGATAATACTTCGTATGCTGCTCGTATTAATGCAAACCTGGCCGTAGCACCTTCAACGTCGTCAGGATTTTTGTCTGGATGTAATTGAAGAGCTTTTTTTCTGTATGCTTTTTTCAACTCTAAGTCCGTTGCTGTAGATTCTACCTGCAATAACTCATAATAACATGTTTTCATACTTTTATGACTGACTCTAGTTAACGTATTTGGATTACTTTGGATTGTGTATCTGATAAGATGAAAAATTTATTTTCTTACGCACAGGAACAAAGATCTGTTATAGAAACTATATTCAAATAAATATTACCCTATTAATAACTTATATATATACCATTATTACCAACCTCTTAAGTGATAATCATCTAAGCATTCATTTGTATCCGAATTTTTATTTACAAATTCCCCATCGTTGATGACCTTCAATGGCAATGGGATTTTACCCAATTTGTAATCAATCAAGATGGACTCCTTTAGAGACTTACTTAATTCCGTTGAAAGCATAGATCTTCTGGTCGATTTTGGTGACAACTTTATTGATCTTGGATTATTAACATTACTGCTGTCTTCTGAGTTTGTGGTTAGGTTTGATTCGGATTTCGCAATTGGATGAGGGTTGATCTTAAGATTAGGGTCCGGGTTGGTAACGGCACTTGTTGTAGAATTAAAATTAGAATTAGAATTAACCCCAGCACGATCTTTAAAGTATGGATCTAACTTCTGGTTTTGTTTTTGTGTCGAAGCCGTTCTTGAATTAGGGGGCATAGGCAAGAACGATGGTGATAATGACTTGGAGCAATCCAGAACTTGTGACGAGCCCAAATTACGTGATGCAGGTTCAAGTGACTCTTGTTTTTCTGTAGTCACACTAGTGTCCTTCTTCAGTTTGTTCTTGGAGTTGAAAAGTTGACTTAGATTTAGTGAGCTTCTAGATAGAAGACCCTTAATGGAATTATTTGAAAGAGAATCTGAGTATTTGTTCAAACTAGACGCTAATGTTATATTGTCACTATGTTCGTTATCCTTAACCTTAGTATTGGAATTATCGTTATTGATACTATTAGTGTTGCTAATATCGGTAGCTTTAGTCGTGACATTAAAATCAGAAACTCCAACTATTGATTTCTGCTTTCCTGGAAAATCACCTTCGTTATCTTCGTTCTTTTGATCGTTCATGTAGTCATTCAAGATATGCTTTTGAACCAAATCATTCTGGTAATGAGGATAGTTTTTAGAAATATCCGTCAATGATGTATGCTTTCTTGAAAATAAAATAGATGGTCGGTTGATTTTATTCGATTTCTTATTCGAGTTACCCTTATTAGAGCCATTATCTATCTGATCGATTGTTATGATTCCCGTCGTAGATGACCTTTTTAATAAAGGTTTCGCATTTGTCGTACTGAACAGAGATGCTGATGACGATGATGCCATTTCATTTAAGAATAAACTGGACAATAATGATCTGGGCTTACTGATTGGTGGAGAAGAACCTCGCTTCTCATTATCTTGTATAGGTATTATATCTGTAGATATGGAAGAATTATTCGACATTGGCTTTAGCCTCTTGTCAAATACGAGTCTCTCGTGTGGTATAGGCTCATAATTTTTCTCATCTTCGGATGAAATAGAAAGCCATTCACTATCATTATCATTACTCTTTCCATGATCTTTGATAATCATATCCGATTCCTGAGTTCGAGACTTCTTCTTAGCAGCAGTATCCGGTAATTCACTCATATTTCCAGGTTGGTCATTATAATCATCCGAGAAAGTGTTATTATTGGATGTACTTAGGCAAACTGTATTCTTCGCATCATCTTCTACATCCAGTTGCTCTTCATCCGGACTACCATCATCGTCTTCCTCGGAAATATCAGTTGAGGAATAATCATCATCATTCGCATCCTCCTGATTATTCTGTTCCTGTAGATTGTTAAACAACGAATCCTGCCTCTTGATTTTAGAAGGTGATACTTTGCCAAACGATTCTCCCGTTTTTGAGAGCAGAGAGTTTGATTTGTTAGCTGGATTATGTCCTCCATTGCTATTATTATTAATACTGTTACGACTGTTATCATTATTCTGCGGAGGGGATGGTGAGTTGGCAATGTAGAAGATATTTCTATTAGTCCGACACATATTTTCATCGGCACAGTCTGCATTGCTATCCTTTTTTGCCAGCAATGATAACGATTCTTTGCTTTTAGAACACAGCGACGCAATAGAAATATGGTTTGGGGAAAAGCCTCGCACAAAAGAAGTCTTGGATCTATTTAAGGGCGGCTTGCTTTCTGCTTCCTTATTTTGTATATCTAACTGGGGCGGAAAGTAACCAAATGCAAAATTAGGTTCGGGTTGATCATATGTGTCTATCTTCTGTATAGTTGATTCCTTGATTTTCTTATCTTGTTCGTCGCTATCGCTCGAAGCGTAGTCATCCTCTTCCAATATGTCTGATATATCCGAAATGTCCGATATATCTTCAGATCTATTCTGTATCTGCTCAACATCATTATTTTCGCCCACAGAGCTGTTTTTCGAGCTGTGGGAGAACAATGTACTTTTAGACGTATTCAGAAATAATGACGGCCTGCTCGATAAGAATTGCGACAGTTTCGGTTTCAAGTCCGACAAAGAGTCAACATACAAATCCTTCATCACATCGCTATTAGCTTCATTATTCAACAACACTTTCTGGTTCAACATTCTCCACGACCGATTACTTAGCCGCTCAGTCGATGAAATCTTCGGACAATGTATTTCATTGTTAGTTACTTTCCACAATTTATATAGCGATTCACCACATTGTGTGTCATAGTCAACCGATAGATCTATGGTTGTAGATCCCATGTCCATGCTGGTTTTATTTTAAAATTTTCTATTTTTTTCCCCTTGTGTTCTTTCGTTATCAATTTGAATTGATCTGTGACTCGACGGAAAGGGGCGGTTACTTGTCTTTTCTTCTCAAAATTTACCTCTTTTTTTTTAGCCTCAGTTTGTCAATGTTTAATACATCAAGCTGTTAATTTAATATACCAGGTATGTATATATCATATATGAATATCTGTTAAAATTACTAAAAAGTTTCACGTTTATTTATCAATTCATGACCAAATTAAATTTTTGCATCTGTTGACGGTTTCAAGATTTGAATGACTGGCTCAGCATGTCACGTGAAGGACCTCTATCAGATAACTCCTATTAGTGTCCTCCAGGAACAATCGATAGGCGGATGATAAGGAAAGACTGTCGACACACGACGTATAAGAGGGACCGTGTATTTGGTAGTGGTGGGCTTTTATGCGATTATAGTTGGGTTTGAGGTGCCTGGATAGTGATATTCTGTCGAGTGCGCCTCTGCGAAGTTAGTAGTCATGGAACTCAGTGACATATGCAGAAAACGAATTGTTGGCAGAACTAATAATCATTTAGGATGTATGTCGGGAGTAGTTGGATGACGAACGAAGTTTGGTAGTAAGAAGAAGGGTCGAACGTAAAAAAATAGGGGTCCAAAGTCCGAGGGGCACGATTTTGCAACTAAATCTCGATGTAGAGTGGGTTCGATTTTGGGTCAATAGTGGACGTGTATTGCATTAGGGTGATTGATTGGGAGGTTAGGGATGAAAATACGTAGAGACAAGCGAGAATGGGGCCGGATGAGAGTATAAGGAATAAAATATTGATTTGGAAATGAACCGAGTTAAACTACAATATGGGTCCGAAAGCTCATCTATTGTCTCCATAACGTCAATAATAACTGGCAATTCAGTAATGTCATATTATATTCATTTGGATTAGTCAAAATGATGATAAAAACATTGTGTTTGAGTGGAGAACAATACGCAAGCATACGCCCGCGTAACATATCCTTGGATCGATAGTGAAGAATTGCACAAAACAAAGAAGTCTTGGGCTTAAACGAAAACTCTACACGCCAAATAATGGGCTGGTTGATATATATTCGGTTAAAATTTTAATAGTCATAATGCATATCTGAAGTTAGGATTTTGCTTATCGGTTAAATCAGCAAATTCAAGATTCTCGACTTTGGTGTTCAAATTTGCATCCAACTTTTTATTACGGGTCCAAAATACAAACCAAATACAAAAAAGCGTTGCCAACGAAACAGAAATACAGATGACTATACCGATTTTAGCACCCGCATACTCCGGTGCCTGGGCATCTATAAAAGTCTGTGGACCTATCAAATTACCGACACAATATGCGATTAAGTTGATAGCATTCACAGTGACCTTTTTAGTGTGGCCAGCAGTATTAGAGGCAATAATAGATAAGGTGCAAACAAAACCAATTGGGCCAATAAAATAAAGACAAATGCCAGCATATTGTACTTTGTATGAATCGGCGAAAGAAAGCATACATGAACCGGTTAAACTGATTGAGATACCGATTGCGGCCCAGAAGAGACGATATGGAAAGAACATCGTACCACTAGCTAACAAGATACTCCCAGTCCACATTACTGCACCTTGGGGCATTTGCATTAACAAGGATTCTGATTCTGAATAACCCATACCTGTTAACAAAATACTACCAAAATTAGTTACTCCACCATTTGGAATATTATTAGCTACAGCAAATAAAGCAAAGAGCCATGTTTGAATGTCAGTTATTGCCTCAATGAATTGATCTTTCTTGAAATGTTTGTTACCAAAACCTTGTTGATTTGATCTTATTCTTTCCACAACAAGATGTTTTTCTTCTTCTGTCAAAAACCACGCCTTTGTGGGTGTATCTGGAATATGTGCCATGATCGCAAACCCAAGAACGATTGTTAAGACTCCTGTTATTATGAATACCAATTTCCACGCTTCCATAGGATAAGAATCTGCGTTGATGTAGAGATTATAAGCAATAGCACCGGCCCCAATTACCACACCAAGGCCGTTACAACTGAACCACAAAGCAGTTCTAATAAATTGTTCTTCTCTCTTATACCACTGACTAGTCAAAATGACGAAGGCTGGTGTGATTGAACTTTCTAACATGCCCAATATCGTACGTAATGCAATAAACCCAGGGTATCCAGGTACTGAATGCATACACATGATGAAACCCCACAAAATAATGAAAATGGATACAGTCTTCGAAACAGGAAACCTCTGTAACAAAAGAGATACTGGAAATTCGAATGCTAAATACCCGAGATAGAATGACGTTCCACTCCACGAATATTGATCACCAACCATCTTCAAATTCTCTCTCATTCCCATAACAGAGGCGAAAGAGTTTGTCATCTTGTCAATGAATTGAAAGCAATATAATAAGCACATAATTGGCATCAAGCATAAATCTATTTTACGAAGAATTTTTTTATTAGTCGCTTCATCTATCTCAACTTCTTTTTCGCCCGTAGTATAGTCCATAGCTACATCTCCATCCGTTGTAATATTAACCAACTTCCCAGTTTGCGGTGACATTATTGATGTAATAATATTGTCTTCTGCATCTACATTAGAACCTTCGTCTGATACAACGTGCCAGACGTCGCTTTTAGTTTTTTCTGTTCTCATAATTATATTATATTTAGCTGCTTCTTACACATACATACTATAGGCTAATTGTAGTATATTATCTATTTAAGTAATCTCAGTTGGTTGGAGAATATATGGTAGTCTCCACCATCATACCCCAAATCGGTTTCCCCAACCTAGTATAATATTATGCGCAGTCTTATCGGTAAATGTTTCCGTAGCATTTTTAAGGTTGCGCAACTTGGAACTCGAGTCAAAGACATACGAAATTAGTTTGAGCGATATGCAAGTGTTTCGTAATGATTCACCAAAAAGACTTTATCATACTACTTGCATTACAATCATCAATATTTGCCATAATATAATCTGGTATCCATATTATGGGTAATATTGTATACGTTGAAACATCGTCGAGGAATGTAGATAATATCCTTATATTACGAAATGTAGGTAATTTTAAATAAATAGAGTCATATGTTTTAAATTGCAAATTAGGAAATCATAACGCATATCTGAAGTTAGGGTTTTGTTTATCGGTTAAATCAGCAAATTCAAGATTCTCAACTTTAGTGTTCAAATTCGCATCCAACTTTTTATTACGGGTCCAAAATACAAACCAAATGCAAAAGAGGGTTGCTAACGAAACAGCAATACACACGACAATCGCTATTTTACCACCCGCATACTCAGGCGCCTGTGCCTCGATAAAGGTTTGTGGACCGATCAAATTACCAACACAGTATGCGATTAAAGTAATGGCATTCACAGTGACTTTTTTAGTGTGGCCTGCAGAATTAGATGCAATAATAGATAACATACAAATAAAACCAACTGGTGCAACATTCCAAAGACAAAGTCCAGCGTACTGCGCTTTGTATGGACCAGCAAAAGAAAGCATACAAGAGCCGATTAAACTAATTGAGATTCCCAATGCAGCCCAGAAAAACCGGTAGGGATAAAGAAGTGTTCCACAAGCAATCCCAATACAGCCACACGTCATACAAGTACCCTGGGGCATTTGCATCAATAGGGACTCCGAAGTTGAATAGCCCATACCTGATATCAAAATACTACTAAAGTTAGTCACGGCACCATTTGGGATATTATTGGCTATTGTAAATATAGCGAAGAGCCAAGTCTGAATATCAGTTATAGCTTCAATGAATTGATCCTTCTTAAAATGCTTGTTACCAAAACCTTGTTGATTTGACCTTATTCTCGCTACCACAAGATTCTTTTCTTCCTCAGTTAAAAACCATGCTTTTGTCGGAGTATCTGGAATATGGGCCATGATCAAGAACCCTAATGCAATTGTTAAGACTCCTGTTATTATGAATAGCAATTTCCACGCTTCCATAGAATAAGAATCTGCGTTGATGAAAAGATTATAAGAAATAGCCCCTGCTCCAATTATTTGGCCAAGACCATTACAGCCGAACCATAAGGCAGTTCTTATAAACTGTTCTTCTCTCTTATACCACTGACTAGTTAAAATGACGAAGGCTGGTGTGATTGAACTTTCTAACATGCCCAATATGGTACGTAATGCAATAAACCCAGGATATTCCGGTACTGAATGCATACACATGATGAAACCCCACAAAATAATGAAAGTGGATACAGTCTTCGAAACAGGAAACCTCTGTAACAATAACGACACTGGAAACTCAAGCACTAAATATCCAAGGTAGAACGAAGTCCCACTCCACGAGTATTGGTTACCAACCATGTGCAAATCTTCCCTCATTCCCATAATAGATGCAAATGAGTTGGCCATCTTGTCAATAAATTGAAAGCAGTATAATAAACACATAACTGGCATCAAATACATATCAATTTTACGAAGAATCCTTCTATTCGTTGCTTCATCCATCTCAACTTCTTTTTCGCCCGCAGCGTAGTTCATAGCTACATCTCCATCCGCTGTAATATTAACCAACTTCCCAGTTTGTGGCGACATTACTGATGTTATAAGATTATCTTCTAAATCAGTATTAGTTCTATCTGCATCCGCACTTGTTTGTACCAGAACAATCTTATCATTTTGTTTCTTATCTGTCGTTCTCATTATTAAGTGAATATTTTTCCGTGTTAAAATGTTCCAGTAAGAAATCGTACTATTTCGTCCCTATTTAAACATTCTCAATATAAAGCACACTTCAGGGCTTAATATTCAGCCTGTTATATCGGTGGCATGAATGCACTGCATAACCTTCTTCGATCCCAATAGGATGCATGGCTTCATTTTTCCCCCCTAAATCACTGAATAGCCACTATTGACATCTATTAGGTAATACACAGAATTTTGACTCGAGAATCCCCAATAAGATGATAGCATTGACAATTATGTAGTGTAAATAGATACGGATTTACTGTCCGTATTGCGTGTGGAGTAATAATGGGGACGCATAATTTACTTCAAGCGAAAACAAAGACGAACATATTTGCAGCGATATCGAGATGACTAATCAATAATGTTGTAGCCTTAATTATAACTCTTGCATACCTCCTCCCGTATGAATTACGATACGAAAGGTCATTTTGAATAATATTCCTTAGCAGGTGGGAAATGACCCCACTTTTAATTTATTCTTCAGAAAATATGACGGATATCAGGAATCCCCTTTCAAGGTTTAGGAACCAGACTCGGAAACTGTAGTAAGGGAGTATTTCCTATATATTTATCGGTTGTCGGATGATTCCAACCCAAAGCTGTCAATAATGAGTCGAAAAAAACATAATCTAAAATAGTAGGCTGGATTAGCAGATCAATCACTGACAGATTAAGAATAAAATCTATTGTCTATTTGACGATGCTTATACGGTTAGAGTCGATACGTCTTATTCTTGTACTGCTGTGCACACAGTTGTCATGTGGAATACACTATCCTGCTTGTCTTCTATAATTCTCTTATTGTTTGTACTCTATTACTGTCTTCGCATCCAGTATGTTCATTCTGAAATTGTCCAAATGCACAACTTGGAGAACTAAAAATGGCTGCAAATAGTCTGTAAGTGTCATTACCCCTATGAGGTCGCCAGTGACCCAAGCCTTCAAATTGTACGATTGCAACCAATTAAGTTATTAATATGATGCCCTGTCCATCCCTATCGAGCAACATTTTACCAATTAGTCAATTTTCGCATAATGCTCCAAAGCATATATCGACGAAGTGTACGCGATCCGTGCTAGGGCCCAGTTGTGAAATGAAACCACTGACAGCAACATAAAATTGCAATTCCCTATTTCCAATCGTGCCTAACAATCCAAGTGATCAATCAAGCCCCGGAAACACCTTATCCGTTTCAAAATTGACGATACTCCCGGTCATGCTGCGCACCTGAATGGAAAAAGATCACAATCCGATTGATAAGTATTTGCCGCGTAGATTGCGTACGACGTTTCTGACAATCAGGTAGTGGCAATTTGGAACGAATGAAACTAACAGATTGTTCTTGTGCATAAAATGCTTATCGACCAGGTATACGAGTCGTCGTTCCTGAGTCGGTGCCCATTTGTTGGATCTTTTGTTGAATTGGACAGTCTATGAACGCAGACCCGGAACCGAGCCTATTGTGACCTTGTATGCTGTATCACATGAGTTTCTGATGTTCGATGTAACTAGCCAACTAGCGTACTACGTACCCACAGGCCTCCCACAGCAACATCCATTACTAGGTCCACCCAATACTAGTAAAAATAGCCCATATTAACCTTAGTATCTCTTCCAATTCACAGTAGCATTATATCAATCAATTGACCCTATACAATGCTTTTAGCACATTCTGGTCATTCTCTGCCGTTACTCTGGTCCCGCATCAGTCTCGAGTACTTATCTATGCAATCTATATGAACAACTCATCAGCTACACATGCTACAAACATATCGTAAACGCCAGATGTACCTCTACACTCTATATATACCTCCCAATCTATCGATGCTTCTGATTCCTAGTCTGAAACCATATAAAAAGCCGTTGACGGATCCTTAATGTGATTTTCATGTGAGTAGTTAATACCGATAAATTTGGAACTCCCTCGTGATTCGGATAGCAATCCAACAGATCATTTATTTAGCAATCGTTTATAGCAATCCTTTATACGGATTTCTATATATAATCATTCGGTGGCTCCGTTAACCATATTCACGATTTTTGAAGTTTTTTAGATTAATAATTAAAGAAACATATTTAAGATACTGGAATTATGTCAAAAGGTACTCAGTATTTATTAGCGTTAGCAGCAACTGGTGGTGCAGTTTATTGGTATGACCAAAATGTTCTGGAAATCCTTCCAAGACAGCAAAGAATTCCACCACAACCAGCATCTACTGGCGAAAAGGTCAACCGTAACATAAATAGACAAGTTGATAAGTTGGACAATAAGAAAAACGAATTAGTTGATAAGGTTTCCAGCTTCACTGACCAACAGCAAAGAGAAGCGCAAAAGGCATCGGAATCGACACTTGACTCAATTAAGAACTCGAGACTTGTTAACAGCATCAGTGGCAGTGCCAATGATTCTAGAAGAAGAATTGAGGCTAATGTCGACCAAGACAAGAATGTTTTGTACAAATTGACTGACAAGTACATTGACTTCGTTAATGACATTGGTGGTTCTACCAAGGGCCAAGCTGACCAATTGAAGTCGACAGCAAGAAGCGACAGAAAGCGTGCTGAAGATAAGGCCAATTCGTGGTTCAACTGGTTCGGAGACAAGAAGGACGAAACAGCTAACAATTTAGACAATAACTACGACCAAGCTAAGAGAGATGCCGAAAAGAAGAAGAATGAATGGTTCTCTTGGGGTTCTCAAAAGAAAGAGGAGGTTGCCGATAGAACCAACGAAGAGGCAGAAAGGCTCAAGAAGGAGAAGAATGCCTGGTCCGCATGGGGTTCTAAGAAGACCGATGAAGTAGCTGACAAGGCTGCATCAGAGAAGAATGCCTGGACTTCTTGGGGATCCAAGAAGGCTGATGAGGCTACTGACAAGGCTGAAGCAGAAAAGAACGCCTGGACCACATGGGGATCCAAGAAGTCTGACGAGGCTGCTGATAAGGCTAACCAAGAAGCTGAAAGACTCAGAAAAGAAAAGGATGCTTGGGCTTCATGGGGATCTAAGAAGGCTGATGAAGCTGCTGACAAGCTCAATGAAGAAACTGAAAGATTCAAAAAGGAATGGGAAAACCCAGACCCATCAGGTAAATCCGCTGCACAACAATACACTAGAGGAGCAAAGAACTCTGAGAAAGCTTTCGGTGATGCTGGTGAACCATTGTCCGCCGCGTTCGTCCAAGGTAAAGAAAGAGCAATTGGAAACTACGAAGCAGCCAAGAAAAACTTAGATGACTTAACTAACAAGGCCAACGCCAATGTTAAGTCACTTTTCCAAAAGCCTGAACCATCATCTGATGAGAAATTGAAACAAGCTCAGGAAGATTTTAATAGTGCATTGCATAACTTAAGAAGTTATGGAGGCGATGTTGTGGAACAAATTGAATCCAAATTTAAGAGAAATTAAGTTATATAGATAGCAATGTAATAATTCTTAATTGAATTATGTTTCTTGAACTCTAATAAATTAACATTTAAGACTTAGAATAATACTGTAGTACTAATTGGGCGTGAGAAATGAGATTTAAGGACTGAAAAATTCGTCCTATTCCAGTAACTGTCTCTTGCGAATTTAAGGAGCCATTTAGATATATTGAGCATGATAACCATTAGAACTGGTAGAGTTAGACACTTAGGTGTTCGGTTTACTCACACACCGACCGTTCCAAAATTATATTTAAATAATGTTGACTTATCAGGGAATGATCTAACAATTATACCTACGCATGAACTATTCACCAAGTTTGGGTTTATAAATCATCCGAAACCAGGGCTTGTTCACTGGTTGCCCTTAGGTCTAGCAATATCGCAGAAGGTTTCACAAGTGATACATCGTCGTATGCGAGAATGTAATGCTGAGGAAATAAACTTATCTTTATTATCTAGTTCACAATTATGGCAGGAAACTGGTAGATGGGATAATAGTGAATTATTTAAGCTAAAGGACTCTTCGAAAAATGACTTTTGTCTTGTGGCCACATGTGAAGAAGAAATAACCAAGTTAATTGGTGCTAATTTAAATTCGTACAAGAACTTGCCATTATTGTATTATCAGATCAATGAAAAATTTAGAGATGAGAAAAGACCAAGGAGTGGTTTATTAAGAGGGAGGGAGTTCTTAATGAAAGATGCATATTCATTTGATTTAAACGAAGAAGCGGCTATGCAAACCTATAATAAGGTTGTTGATGCTTACTATAATGTATTTCAAGATTTAAGAATTCCATTTGTCAAGGCAGATGCGGATACAGGGGATATTGGAGGCTCATTATCTCATGAATGGCATTATTTACATAAGGTTGGAGAGGATACTCTATTCACATGCGATGAGTGTGGTAATAGTTCGAATATAGAGAAAACGTTGTCGTATCCTGAAGATGTTGATAATTCTGTCGGTGTTTCGGTACAGTATTTCATGACTGAAGATAAGAACACCTTAGTATGTGCATACTATCCTACTGATAGAACTATCGAACCAAGTTTCGTTAAGGAGGAAGTTCCGGATTTGGATCTAAATGAGACAAATCAAGATTCAATTTTGAAAGAGTTTTCTGACGAGGACACATTAATATCTAAGAAGATCATTCGGATGATGGACTCTAGACTAAACCTGAGATCCAACTTCCCCGATTTTCCAATCAAATTCATAAATAGATCGTTGATCACCACTTTAATAGACATTCCGATTGTCACCGCAGTCGAAGACGAAATATGCGCCAAATGTGAAGATGGACATTTGAAATTACACAGAGCAATTGAGGTGGGACATACCTTTTATTTGGGGGATAAGTATTCCAAGCCATTGAAGTGTGAAGTCGAAGTTCCGAATCAAGATGGCAGTCAGCAATTAACCAACGTAGTTATGGGATGCTACGGTATCGGAATCAGTAGGATAATTGCAGCTATAGGTGAGATCAACAAGGATTCAACTGGGTTTAGATGGCCGTCTGTTATTGCACCGTGGAATGTAACTGTTGTACATAGTCCTAAATTTGATGATTCCGAAGGCACCCAGGTGTATGAATTATTGAACGCTGCCTCTATTTCCTACAGACTCGACAACAGACCCAAGATAGGCTTAGGAAAGAAGATTAAACAATCGCACATGGTTGGGATTCCATTGACGGTCATACTTGGGAACCAATTCCCTCTCGTTGAAGTCGAAATCAGAGGTCGCAGGTATACCGACGACTTACTGTGGAAACGTCTCTACGAAACCAGAGACTTCGATTGGGAAATAGTCACCGATGCAGACGGAAACGATATCAAGCACTTGGTGCACATCGACGGCGTAGCTAGGGCTATCAACTCGTTATTAATAGATATGTAGTTTATATTACCGTGTACATAATTGACTTAAAATACATTATATAAAGATTAGTGGTGTCAAATGAAAACCTTGCAAGTAACTATAATTCCTGTTCATATTTACTTCCTGTTCGTATTAGTTCGCCGTTTCTTTCATCGTTTTGGAATACCGCATCCATCCTCTAAGACGAAAATTTACCAGTAATCTTAGCAAAAACATGTAAGATAATCACAGAGAAAATGAACCCAACGGCCAAAAATAACACAACCAATGGGTCAACTCTTAAACCCTGAGCTTCGTCGGTGAACAATTTCATCATGGTGGCAGATGATCCTCCGGCTCCGGCTGATCTAGTTGATAATGGCATAGCATTGTTGGATTGTGCCTTTTTATCTGCTGCAATTCTTCTTTTGGCTGCGCTTCTTAATCCCCCTGGGGCTTGAGCTGATGACGACGACTATAATCATGTTAGTATATTTATGTCCACATAATTTTTCATCTGGTTCCAATGACGAACTATCGCCTGAATTGGTCCCATTCCATTCTCCTTTTCCACGAAACTTCATCTTCGACCCTCATACACAGCAGAGTTTAATGTGTCACACATACCATATTATTCTCGACTATATTACTATTGGTTTTTGAATAGAAGTCTATTCTTCCCTATTGCCTTAGCTGTACACGTAAACATTTTGGGAAATCGTTCAACGATTTTGTGTCACTTTTTTGCCTAACAAAAATTTTTCTTTTTGTGTAATATTTATTTTGCACTGGCGTTGGCATTATGATGAATTTCATGAAGAGATTGTATCGATTTGTTTGTCGTGCAGTTAGTTAGAGAGACATCTACAACTTATAACAAGGTATTGGGAATATTCAGATAACTTGGTTTTAAGGCATATTGAAATAACGGATTGAAATAAGCAACAAAATAAATAGTTGTTGATAAATCAAAATCCGAGACGATATTCAGAGCCTCCTAGCAAGAAAAGTATTTTACGCTAGCGATATAGACAATAAGAGACTAATTCCAATACAGGGCTTATTAAGTGGATCTAGAAAAGGCTTCTTTGGTAATAACAGTAAATTTTCAGAAGCGTTGATATAGAAGTTTGCTTGGAAAAACAAGATACGAGATAGCCAACGCAGAAATATGGATTTGAGAAATCTCTCGAGTACGCCGAACCAGTTGGATTCGGTCATGCAGCGTCGTCCTTCGTTGTCGTCGTTGTCGTCGGCATCAGGGTATGCGTCGTCGAATTACGGTGGAAACACCACACCGCAAATCAGCAAACAGAGGATGTCGCAGGGCAGGAACTTTGGGAACGGAAATAGCAATTCGAGCACCAATTTGCAATCAGCATGGTTGAACCAGGGACAGATGTCCTCGGTTCCAGGCCAGCCACTGAATCAGCCTCTGAATCAGCATGTTGTTAACACGGTTGGGCCGTGGGTTGAGCAACAACAGGCTCAACAGCAAGCGGGAGTTGCTTCCTTAAGCGGACTTGATAGCAAAGTTATCCCACCGAATTTGAATGACAAGAATTCGAGCAGTATTAATGATAATGATAATGATAATGAAGTTAAACAAAACGCAACTAATGATAATAACGATGATGATGATGATGATGACATTGATGATGATGATGAATTGATTCCAACAGCTATCGTTATTAAGAATATCCCGTTTGCTATTAAGAAGGAACAATTATTAGATGTTATGACTAAATTGAACTTGCCGTTGCCATATGCTTTCAATTATCATTTTGATAATGGTGTTTTCAGAGGTTTAGCGTTTGCTAATTTTACTCTGACAGATGAAACTTCTTCAGTGGTTGGCCTTTTGAACGGTAGAGAAATCGGTGGTAGAAAGTTACGTGTTGAGTATAAAAAAATGTTGCCTGCCCAAGAAAGAGAGAGAATTGAACGTGAGAAGAGAGAGAAGAGAGGACAATTAGAAGAGCAACACCGTTCGACATCCAATGCATCTTTAGCTTCATTGTTATCTGCAGCATCAACCACTGCAGCTACTAAGAACTTGAGTGTTAATGGAACGTCTAATAATCAAACCGAGAGGTTATTTATTACTTTTCCTAGTGCTAATGGTAACTTACCATTACCACCGTCAGAGTTGAACCTTAATGACCCCGAAATCCTAGAATTATATTCTCAATTGATTCTTTACCGTGATGATATGGCTAAGTCTATCTTTGAGTTGGCATTTCCGTCATCTTTGGGCATAGCCCATAGAAAGATCTTGTCTATCTTATGTTCATACTTGAACTTATTAGAGCTCTATGATAATGGATTAATTATTATTAGAAGAAAGCAAGGTCAACAACCCGCTCACTTAACTCAACAATCGTCAGCACCTCACCACTCGTCTTCGATGATGAATTTAAACCAATTACCGGGAATTGTGTCTAATCCTCCAAATGGAGTGACTCCAGCGGCCCATCCTGAATTGTTGAGATCTCAGTCGCAATCTGCTTTACAGATGCCAAGGTTAAGACAACAATCATCGACTCCAATTCAACAGAATTTTCCCCAATATCAACAACAACCGCAAGGGCAACAACAAGCTCAGCTCTCTCATCCGCAAGTAAGTGGCTCCCAATCACAAGTTCAGCCACCGCAACAATCTCAATCGCTGCAACAGTCACAAAGACCTTTATATTCATCAAACATTTCTCAGGTTCAACCTTATAATATGTTTCAACAGCCTCCTGCGGGCCATAGTCAAAGCCAGCAAGTTGCAACTCCATCTATGGGGTCATCGAGTGCTGCAGCTTTATTAAGATCTTCCAATAACAGATCGTACGTTGATGTTAGATCAACACCACCTTTATCTACGACGTTTTCTCAACCACCTCAATCCGGTAATGAATCACCTACTCCACAGCATTATCATTTTGCCAATAGTAACTCAAATAATCAAATCAGTCAGCCAACAACCCCATTGGCTAACACAGACATCAACTCAAGATTTGCTCCATTTGGCCAACATGCTCACTTAACCGGAAGTTTTTCATCATTGCACAACCCCACCAATAATGCTTCATCACAAGGTCTCCCAAATCCTCAAGCATCTCAAACAAATGAAGAATTCGCTGACCCGGAGGTATTTGCCAATAAATTCACCTCCATAAATTTGTCCGGTAATTACGAAAATTCAAACATGTCCAATTCCGGAATTTGGGGTCCAAAATAACGAATGAATGATTCCATGACTTCAAACTAAATGTAAATTTAATTTAATTTTAAAGAATATATTAATGATCCTGCGTTATGATAAATTAAATGCTCCAAAGACACCTGTCCTTCCAGTGGCCCGTGCCGAAAATGCATCCATCATTCTTTCTAAATTCCTTTCATTCAAAATCGCTCGTCTCCTCAATGATTCGACGTGGGATATTATTATCTTCTGGGATATTGGCTTCATGCCATTCCCATTACAAGTAATCATATGATCCAATTATAGAATTTTTATCTGTTCTCATTTTTCTCTCCACTTTATTTTTTTTGATTTGCCCTTATATATCAATTTGAAATACTATATATCATTAAACTAAATAAGTCTTTGTTTATTACTCAATTCCCAACCTAATTCATTCGCCCACACTTGAATGAATCATCCACTGTAATTCTCCTAACTGCCTACGTCAGTCCTAAAATGACCTTCCCCTGCAAAATTCAGCTTACCCTTTTCCAAACAAAAGTCTCATTAATCACGAACCAATCCTCCTAGACTCTCTCGTGTGTTAGCAATATATCACCAATACATTGGGCCCTCCAATGAACGTATCAAACGACCTAACTGTAATAGATTGCAAAATTCAATAAATGTCACGTGTGTGCAATAAGCGAAAAAGAAATCAAAAAGTGGACGATGATGGCACCTCAAATTTTATCATAACAGTGTTTAATTAAAACAAGTTAGCAGAAGTTATAACGAATCTAGTTTGCAGATAGGATAATCAGTGGATCAGATAAGTATTTCATCAATTAAGCTAAGTGTACATTTTTGATTAAACTTTTTAAATTTGAAGTGTGTTGATTTTAAGTAATCAATCTGAGATTTTTTTGAGGTATATAACGTATTCTAATTTAGAACATACGGTTGAACAGTAGTCTATTTAAAAACGCTCATATAATACATTTTTGCGGTAGTTGTTATAAGTAATAATAGAGAATTGAAATATGGGTCAAATACTTTCACAACCAGTTACTGAAAAAATATCGGAACATGGTGTCGACAAACATTTAGCATACGGTATATCGTGTATGCAAGGATGGAGAGTCAATATGGAAGATGCACACGCTACCATATTGAACTTGTATGACTTGAAAAATGAGAATGGTAAAGGAGCAGGCTCACAAAAGGCACAAGATAGTTCATCTTCTGGCAAGAGTGGTACCGACAATGACACGACTGATGAACATACTTCGTTTTTCGGTGTCTACGATGGACACGGGGGTGAGAAGGTAGCGATTTTTACGGGAGAGCATTTGCATGAGATAATCAAGTCGACAAAAGCATTCCAAGAGAAAGATTACGTCAATGCATTCAAAGAAGGTTTTTTAAATTGTGACCAAGCAATTTTAAATGATGATGAAATGAAGGAAGACGACAGTGGATGTGCTGCGGTTTCTGTTATCATTACACCAAGACAAGTCATATGTGGTAATGCTGGTGATTCGCGAAGCATTATGTCAATTAATGGGTTTGCGAAGGCATTGTCTTATGATCATAAGCCATCTAACGAAGGTGAGAAGAGCCGTATTTGTTCGGCTGGTGGTTATGTCGACATGGGTAGAGTCAATGGTAACTTAGCTTTATCGCGTGGTATTGGTGATTTTGAATTTAAGAAGAATATTGATTTACCACCTGAAGAACAGACAGTCACATGCTACCCAGATGTTATACAGCACAACTTGGATTTCACTAAGGATGAGTTCGTGGTGTTAGCATGTGACGGTATTTGGGATTGTCTTTCATCTCAACAGTGTGTTGAATGTGTTAGTAGAGGTGTTTATGAAGGTAAACCTTTGCAAGATATCTGTGAAGAGATCATGGAATTATGTTGTGCACCAACAAGTGACGGTTCTGGTATCGGATGTGATAATATGTCTATATCTATTGTTGCTTTATTAGATGAATCAAAGAATGAATCATTGGATCAATGGTATGACAGGGTCATCAAGAGAATTGAACTTTCTCAATCGGAAGATGAAGAAAGCCAATTCTATGGTAATATCTCCGCTGAATACAATGATATCTATAAGCAAATGTACGGTGAGTATTTTGAAATTGGTCAACAATCCCAAAATTCAAACGCTAAGAGTGCTGGTAACAATTCAAGCTACTACTCTATGTTTGGCGGATTGCCAGGTTTACGTAATGGCCCAGGACTCAACCAAAATGAAGACGAGGAAGATAATGAACTTTCCAACGAGCCAACCGAAGAAATTCAGGAAGACGGCACTGCGGCCGACTTGGCTGGTAACGGAGCTATCTCCTTACAAAAGCTATTGGCCAGTAATGCGATTACGAACGAAAATGGTGTTATCTATTTAGACACATCTTCTGCGCAATCCCTTTTAGCCCATTTTGGTATGTCTGGTGAAGATGATGAATACGAAGGAAATGATAATGTTCACGACAAACATATTGAGGAGGAAGAAGTTGAGGACGACGATCAGGACTCTAAACCCAAAATCGAAGAGGAACCACAGGATGATGAAAAATAATAATCAGAAGATAATATTATTCATAATGATACTTTCTAAACGAAGATTTAAGTCAGTTTTTTTTGCTATTGTTGTTTATAAATTTATTTATTGGATTTTTTCGATCTTTAATGTCATTCCCACCTCAACTATTCTTACGTGGCTCCGCTATCCAAATTGGCAGATGTCCTTCACTTTTTTTTAAACCATCTCTTTTGATGATGTGAAGAGTTCAACGAGTTTATGTTTTATTAGAAATTGCTTTATTCTTTTATAATTTTATGTTTGGTCAATCACTTTTTTTATATTGATACTTAGATTCAACACTAATTTATATTATGCTATGATAATCCACAGTGTAATTTGTAATGTTGTAATGTAGTAGTAATGATGATATGAATTTGACTTGTCGTGTATATATTAAACAACGCGGTTTTTTGTGTTCATTATGAAAATCATCTTAACTGAAGTGGATTTACACTGTTAAGCAGATCAACACAAGAAATTGAGACCGTACCAAGGCAGATTAAGGACAATTGGTGATATGCAAGCATGACACCAAAACATAATCTACTAAATCTGCTTAGGATTACGAATAATAAAATATATGAAGACATATCACTGGGGCATGATGTTACTGACCGGTCGCAGAGAAGAAAACCACCAAACAATTCATATTCAATAAAAAAGTTAGTACGATCCACAATGAATGGTCTTGACGTAGCAGATTCCAAGTCTTCTGTTGGTGTCAATGCCAAGGTGACTATCATACGGCCCATAACAAAGCATTTTTATGTCAAGATCAGATATGATAGAAATAATCGTAAATCAAGAAATATATTGAAAATTCCTATTCGAAGAAAACTTGAAAGCAAAGAACATTCCATAAAGGATAAGAGCACTAATAAAGCGACAAAGTACACTGGGGATGATTTTTCGAGAGAATTGCCATACAAGGGAATCTTGAAATTCCCTGATTGCATCATCAACGATACAGACCCAACTAGAAAAGATAGAGAATTGTTTCAGAAATTGTATCATGAAGGAGAGCAATTAAGGAAATCAAATCAAATCGATGAAACACCAGCCGTGGAAGAAATCCTGACTATGCATGGTAGTACCGAGTCTACCCCAGCCCCAGCAGTAAACAATTACTTGAAATCTCAAATCAAGAAAATACAGTTTCGAGAATACGAAATTGATACCTGGTATACGTCACCATATCCAGAAGAATACTCACAGTCAAAGATATTATACATTTGTGAACACTGTTTAAAGTATATGAGTTCGCCGATCTCGTATGAACGTCATCAGCTTAAAAATTGTAATTTGTCGAATAATCATCCTCCTGGAATAGAAATTTACAGAGATTTGGATACAAATATAGCTGTATGGGAAGTTGATGGTAGGAAGAACATTAATTATTGCCAGAATTTGTGTCTCTTGGCAAAATTGTTTCTTAATTCAAAGACTTTGTATTATGATGTTGAGCCGTTCATATTTTATGTTTTAACAGAAATAGATAAAGAGAATCCTACCAAATATCATTTTGTGGGTTATTTTTCCAAAGAGAAGTTAAGTAATTCTGATTATAATGTGTCATGTATTTTGACCTTGCCAATATATCAGCGAAAAGGGTATGGAAACTTATTGATTGATTTTAGTTATCTATTAAGTCGACATGAGTTTAAATTTGGTACCCCAGAGAAACCTCTAAGCGATCTAGGATTGGTGAGTTATCGAAACTATTGGAAAATAACTATCGCATTGAAATTAAAAGAATTGCACCTTAAGTACCTAAACAATACGGATAATGATAAAAATAGCAATACCCTATCAATTTCAATAGAGAATTTATCCAAACTCACAGGTATAATTCCTTCTGATGTGGTTGTTGGTTTGGAGCAATTGGATTCGTTGATAAAAAATCCTATTACTAACTCATATGGGATCGTTATCAATTTGCAGAAGATAAACTACATAATTGAAAAATGGAAAAATAAAAAGTACGTCTGTTTAGACTATAGCAAACTACTCTGGAAGCCTATGCTATTTGGTCCATCTGGCGGTATTAATTCAGCTCCAGCTATGCAGTCTAATCCTATTTCGAATTTGAATAATAGTACAAACTTTCCATCTCAGCCTGTCATGAACAATAGCATTTCAAATATTGTCAACTTTTTGAAGGACGATATAAACAACCCGTATTCCTTCGAAGAGGAGGCATCTAAAGAAATTGAGTGCTACTTAGACTTGGGACAAGAAAAAGGGGACATAAATATAAGAGAGAATGATATTGATAATTACATCATCTGTTATCCTGGTATTGATGTAAACCTCAGGAAAAAGCTGACTCCAGTAAGACAAGCACCAAAAATCAATTCATTAATAGAAAGTGGTAAAGAGCCAACTATGTCGCCAGACACAAGAGACGTAAAAGGGGTAGATGACCTTATGGATGACGAGGATATTTTTGAAGATGAAGAAGAAGGTGTAGTAAGTGATGAGTCTGAAGATTACGTGGAAGGTTCGGATATTGGTGATGAAGATGGCGAAGAAGAAGAAATTGAAGAGATTGACGAAGTTGAGCAACAAGTAGGTGATGAAGTTAACTATAGTAGTGAACAAACAGATGATGTGGAAGAGACACTTATTCCAGATTATATTTCAGATCAAGATGCAACAAATGATAATTCTGATAAACCTGTAGCCCAGCCAAAAGGGTCACCACTATCGGATCCACACGAATTCGACAATCCTAATATACACGAAATCAGACAAACTCGAAGCCACTCAAATAGGCAAGCAGCGGAACCTGAAACTTTAACAAGGAACACGAGAAGTAAAAGGAGTCCGCCTGATCTTGAAGTTCCTATTAGAACAACGAGATTTGGAAGACAACGGGCACATATAAATGAATCTCCCAGGCTTCGCAGAAGACGTTGAACGTTTATTATAGGGATTTGGTAAATAATAATATTTGCCTTTTGTATTATATAACTGTAAATCTATTGTATATTAGTCTTTAACAAATGTCTTGTAATACATAATCTATATTTGGAATAATTTGCATGTATTTTCATAAATTAAATCAATGAAGTCTTCAATATCTTTCGGATCTTTGATACCATATAATTCACACATTACTTCAGCAACATAGCCCACAAATACTGGTTCGTTTCGAGATCTTATTAATGGATATGCAAATTCCCCTATTGGTTGCGTTACCTTTTCTACATTTCTTTGTTTTGCAATCGTATCTATTATGTTTTGATGCTTAGCAAAGTGCTCCTTCTTGATCGTTGGAAAAGGTAAGAAGTCATCAAACTTAATTTGAGGTTGCTTGGATGCTTGCTTTTGCTTTTGTTTTTGTTTGCCTTGTTCCGGTGTTCCATTTGATTCATCTGCAACTAAAGATGACTCAGGCTCTTCAAATTTTATTTCAGGATAAAATTGGTTTGGGTAAGGAGTAACATATTTATAACTTGAATGGCTTTTCCTAATTTCACACCAAGGTGCATCGGTTTCAATCATTAATTTAGCCTTCGGGATCAATTTGGCTACTTCTAAATTATCATCTGTTTTTAAAGAACACCCATTAATACCGATATAGAAACCTAGTTCTGATAATTTTTCAAGTTCTTCCTTTGTGCCTGTAAAAGAGTGAATTACGCCATTACCCTTTAAAATATCACCTCTTTCAATGAAGGGTTTAATAATTGATATGAAATCGTCACAAGCACTCCTCATATGTAAGAACAATGGAAGTTTTAACTCTTTTAAGGAAGATATCACTTCTAATTGCTTACCGAACATTGTTATTTGCTGTTCCTTAGATGCATAATGAAATCGATCGTAGTCTAAGCCAATTTCACCAAATGCCTTCACGTAACCTTTTTCATATCCCAATTTTACAAGATCACGTAATTCGTTTAATCTATTTTCAACATCAGGAATCAACTCTTCTGTGAATTCATTCATTTCTTCGTCTTTTTGATAAAATTCTTGAGCCACTGTGCATGGATGAACACCTACTGTTGAATAGAACATGCCTGGATGCTCTTCACATAAAGCGAAATGTTCTTCGCTTTCTTGAATAGACGATGCTGTAATTAACATCTTATTTACATTAAACAAGCGTGCCCTGGCGATGACCTTCTCTATATCTGCTGGGTGCTTTGGAGTAGTTGAACCGTTGTAACAACCTTGAAACATGGAATCTGAAAAATTAACACCGATATCAAAGTAGCGTGGCTTCCATTCATTACTTGTTGCAAATGTCATTCTGGATACTTTAAAATGTGAAAAAACCCTAAACAGAAGTCTAGTAAGCATATATAAATGTTAAATATATATGAAAAGCTACAATACACTTAGTGAGAAATAATTTTAGTACTAGATCCGAGTCTCGAAGTGATCTGATATAACAAAGTATCAACATCAAAAAAAAATACGTCTACTATGTCAGATGATCTAGATAGGGTGTTATCTATCGAGGAACTGGCTTTAGTAAAGGATAGAGAGATAGAGAGGGTCTTGAATTGTTGCCCATGGGACTATTATTCCATCCTTGAAATTAATCCTCTCATGAAAGATATCCAATTGCAAAATCAAATTAAAAGAACTTATAGAAAGAAAACATTGTTGATACATCCTGATAAAGTATCAAACCCAAATGCACCACATGCCTTTGATAGACTAAAGAAAGCTGAATTGGTGTTATCATTTGATATACCTGAAAGTGAATCAGAAATTGAATCTCAAGACGACACCTCTAAATTGTACATAAACGAAAAGAAACGCCTATTAGCTATATATAATGACGCAGAAAACCGCTTATTGAGATCGAAGAAGATAATGCAGGGCGATAATTATAGTGAAGAGAATTATAAACAAATTCTACAAATAGTTACTGAAATCTTAAACGAAGAGATCAAACAAGAAGAAATAGAAAGGAACTTTCAACAGCAACAAGAAGCTAGGAAAATGGCTGAACTTAAGAAGGTACAACAAGAAAGAGAATTGAAGAAGAAACTCGCTAACAAGTGGGAAGATGAGAGAGATATTAGAGTAAATAATTGGAGATCATATACAAACAAAATTGAAAAACCTAAGTCTAAAAACAAAAAGAAACCTGGCAATTCAAAGAAGAATCTTCTTGCATAACTTAACTTTATTAGATTGTGGTAATAGATAACTCATATTTAACTAATTTTATAGTTCTATCAAAGCATCACTAGATATCTCAAATAGAAGAAAAATTAAAAATTCTTTACAAATATTGACCATAAAGATAACCATGTCACAACAGAATTTATCGCATTTGCTTTCTGTTGGAGTAATATCTCTCATTACTGGTTTCTGTATCAGTCAATATTTTGGAACCAAGCAATGCTCTAGATCAAAATTAAAAGGAATGAAAAAGATTCCAAAGGTTCCAGTTGAGAATTTATCTACGGATGAAGAATCAGAATACGAAGACGATTCTGAAGATGAGAGTATTGATATTGATTCTACGCCATTAAATGACGTCCCAGGTGAAGTTCGTATGACTTTAATTGTTCGTCAGGACTTAAAAATGGGTAAAGGTAAAGCAGCAGCTCAATGTCTGCATGCTACGTTAGCGTTGTATAAGAAAATATCCAACCCTGAATCTGAAGCATACAACCCTGAAATGGTTAATAGATGGGAATACGGGAACGGGCAAGCAAAAATCACATTACAGGTACCTAATCAAGAAGAAATGGATACATTATTTGCTCAAGCCATTTCGTTGGACGTAAACGCATATATAGTTCATGATGCCGGAAGAACTCAAATTGCTGCTGGAAGTGCCACAGTCTTAGGATTAGGACCTGCCCCCAAGTTAGTGATAGATCAAATTACGAAGGATTTAAAACTTTACTAAGTATAAATGTCGAACATTATTCCTAATTTTCTCGCCCATATATAGATATATATATATTCGTTCCCATGTACAGTAAAAAAAATTGGCTAAATCTTTATAGCAGACCTTTGTGAATTAAATACAAGATACAAGATTATTTAAGTTTTCTTCTAAGCGTTTCCCCTACAGCTAAGGGATTTACTGCAGAGCTGGTTCTTCTCTTCTTTCTCTTCCGAGTGCCGCCGTGTAACGATTCGTCATCATCGACTAATACATCATCGTCTTCATCGTCGTCCTCGCTCACATCAATTCCATCTATTACATCGTCCACTTCATCATAAAAATCGTCATCGTCATCTAATCCAATCGAGGATTGCCTTCCTCTTCTATGTTCTCTGGATGTAGACGATCTATGTCCGTTTCTCAATTTTTCTAAATAATCAATTCTAGACCATATTTCACCTTCAGTTCTTTGGGGTAATAAAATGGATAATTCAGCAAAAGATAATTCTCTATTACGACGGTTGATTAATAACTCATCTTCTTCCATTGACCAAGGTATTTTGAAAATGGTTGACTGTGCATTTGGAGTACTTGATTTTGAAGTGTTCTTTTGTGAAGTGTGAGTCTTATTTGGAGTTCTTTTTGTATTTGCAAGGAAATCTGCTTTCTTCGAGTCAGGCTTTAAATTTTCATCATCTTTTTTATCCCCAGTAAACGGAATAACAACAGATCCTGATCTCGAATAATACCCCAGTGACCCAACACTTCCATTTCTGATGCTAGAAACTGTAGTTGATTGATACGTACTAGGTATTCCACTTACACTAGCATTTCTAGAGGGACCGCTTATGCTGCTTCCACCTCCAAATAATATAGGTAAGTGGGCTAATGCACTATTATTCAGTTGATGATGCGGTATGTTCATTGATTTGGAAGGTAAAGACGACACCGACGCCCGTGTAGCTGACGAAACAGAAGTTCTGTCGTCTTTGACAATTTGAATTATAGAATTATTGTGAACATTGTGAGGTATTGGATGTGTTTGATGATTTGATCGGCTTGAGTTAGCTTGCGAGCCTTGAGACGTAGAGTTCCTTGGTGTCAAATTGCCTGGGGTATGCGGGTGAGCTTGGTTATGAGGTAAATTCATGGTCGGATCAATAGAAATATCAGCGTAGTAGCCACCACCTGAATTCGTAGTAGTCCCATGATGTGACTGCGGGTCCAACGAAACTTCAGATCTAGGAGAATTGTCGAAATGGTTATGACCCAAACTATGGGACCGATTACCCCCATCGGGAGAGTTGAGTCCAGGAGTAGACGAATTGGTATTGGTGCCTATATGGTAGTTGGGCATCGGACTCGAGATATTAGAAGGAGTATTTGATAATGCGTTTAATCCAGCTAAAGCACTATTAATATTATTATCATACCCCGTAAATGTAGCAGTAGTAATAGGAGAGTACGATGAAAATGCACTGGGTGAGTCATGACTTGGAGACACCGACTTTGCATTCCCTGGCCCTTTCTTACTCTTCTTGAGACCGCTTGTGGCTGGAACCTTACTGCCACTTGCCGGACTTCCCAACCCAGATGACGATTTTGGCGGGTTCTTCAAGTTCCCTGACTTTAAACGTCTCCATCTAAATTGGCATGCATTAGGAGTTCTGTTAGTAAAGTTGCTAGCAATCTCCTTCCATCCTAACTTTTGTTGGTCCTTCAAATGCATTAAGAGTATATCGTCCAGTGCGTCCCACGATGTGGGTGTTCTAGAGAAATTTTTGGCATTAGACGTATTACTGGACATTGGTGGTGAAGATTCATCTTCTGACAGCTTCATGTTAGCCTGATTCATATCTAATCTGTCTATTTATAGAATAATCTCTTTATATCGTTAGTTCGAATTTCTTGGTGATGATCATCGTTTCTCGACGTTCAACAGAATCGACATAAATAAAATCATGTGAGGAATAGATGAACAACCAAACTCGACTAATTTACATTATTTGAACGATATATATATATACATATATAATATCATATGTATGTATGTACG